GTGTTATGGTTGCCAGGGTGTTGTCATGTGGTTGCTTGGGTGTTCTGAGTGGGTTTTAACACATGACTATGCAGTTGCTGTGGTGTTCTGGTTGCCAAGGTGTTGTCATGCGCTTGCTAAAGTGCTCTGAGTGGGTTTTAACACATTGCTATGCAGTTGTTAGGGTGTTCTGGTTGCCAGGGTGTTGTCATACAGTTGCTAAGGTGCTCTGAGAAGGTTTTAACACATTGCTATGCAGTTTTTAGGGTGTTTCTGGTTGCAAGGGTGTTGTCATACACTTGCTTAGGTGTTCTGAGTGGGTTTTAAAATTTAGTTATGCTGTTGCTAGGGTGTTTCTGGTTGCCAGGGTGTTGTCATGTGGTTGCTAATGTGTTCTGAGTGGGTTTTAACACCTTGCTATGCTGTTGCTAGGGTGTTTCTGGTTGGGAGGATGTTGTCATACACTCAAAAAAAGATACTTTAAACTAACTTAATTCAATTATGGACAGTGGTTCCACATAATAGAAACATGTTATCTCTACTCAAATATATAATGTATGATGAACTAAACTGAATTGAGTAAACTTAAACAACCATGTCCAAATAACCTGAATCAATCAAGTTCATCCTAACTAAAGTATCTGAGTAAAGATAACATGTTTCCATTATGTGGAACCACGGTCCATAAATGAATTAATTTATTTTAAGGTAAGATATTTTTTTGATGTAGCTGCTATTTATAACACACACTAAACAAGCTAAATATAGCTCTTATAGTTAGGAGTTAGCCAGAGGATGGTTGTTACATCCATTGCATGCCCCAACTAGTTGTTTTCTTTTATTAAAGGGGTCATATGATGTTGCTAAAAAGAACATTATTTTGTGTATTTGGTGTAATGAAATGTGTTTATGCGGTTTAAGGTTAAAAAAAAAACATTATTTCCCAAAAACTGTACATTATTGTTGCTCCTCTATGCCCCGCCTTTCTGAAACGTGTCGATTTTTACAAAGCTCATCGGTCTGAAAAGCGTGGTGTGCTCTGATTGTGCCAGTGCATTGTGATTGGCCGAATACCTCAAGTGTGTGACGGAAATGTTACGCCCCTTACCATACTGTGATGCCGTGTCCCGGAGCAACGAGACAAAACCAATAAAACCCATTATAAATTAGGCATTTGTTGCATCCAGTGCAAATAAACATTGCTATGCTGTTGCTAGGGTTTTTCTGGTTGCCAGGGTGTTATCATATGGTTGCTGGTAAAGTAAAATATAGTAGTAAAGTAAAAAGAACAAGTTTTTATCCATTTAATGTGTAATTCATAGTAACAGCACACCTCTCTTCAACAAACTGCATGATGGGATGAAATGCTCACAGACAGTTCATGCTTATGGCTGGTTATGGGTTTATTCAAAGCAAGCACCAATAACTATTATTACCAATATTATTTCACTATTAATATTTTCTTCATCATGATGTTGGCTGCCTGTTACCGCAACGCAGATGGACTGACAGGGCTGTCTGTCAAACTCTGCTCATATTTAGACATTTTATTGAGAGGTTTTGAGCTACAGCACGTTGTCATGGAAACAACAGATAAAAAGGCTATCAATTGGAAAGCTAAATGAGCCGGGAACAAAAAAAAAAGGAAAAGGAGAAGTGAGGAAAAAAATGAATCAATCAATCAATGAATGAATTTGTGCTGTCAAACGATTAATCGTGATTAATCGCATCCAAAATAAAAGTTTTCGTTTACATAATATGTGTGTGTAATGTGTATATTTATTACGTATATATAAATACACACACATGCATGTATATATTTAAGAAAAATGTGTTAAGTTTATACATTTAAAATATTTATATATAATAACAATTATATGAATATATATACATGGAAATATTTTCAAAATATATACTGTATGTGTGTGTATTTATATATACATAATAAATATACACCGTATACACACAAAAACTTTTATTTTGGATGCGATTAATCATGATTAATCGTTTGACAGCACTAGAATGAATGAATATTTTCTACAATTTTAACAGGAGACAATCAAATATAAATCTTATTTAACTAGGACTTGTAACACTGAGGATTTGGATATCTAAGTCCTTCAAACCACCGGATGATTTCTCAGAGTAAAAGTGAAAACATTTCTCCTCAGGTCTGTCCACTGATCCATCATTAGAGCAGAAATTTGACATAAGATCTCAGAGACATCTATTTAAACTCCAGAAGTCTTGGGAAGAAACATGATGGATCGCAGAAACGAGACGTGACAAAAAACGTGACCACAAAACCACTGTGAAAACATTTTTGTGCTGTTAGCTTATAAACATCACTATTTCCTATACTAGGGTTAATTGAGGAGAGGTGTGCTAGTACTTCTCTAAATGAGATCATACATACTATTTTCACCTAAAAGTCAATAAAACAGCTAAAAAAAAATTCTTAAAGACTTATAGTGTTCACACCAAAAGCTAAGCGAATATTTGCATCGCATTACTCACTCCAGATTACTTGCAGGATGTTTTTTTTGCATCACTCACTTTGCAAAATATAAAAACAATAAAAACCATTTTCTGATACAACCGGATGTGTCAGTTGCTATGTCAATATAACAGCTAAAAATATCTTACAGACTTACATACAGTGTTGCTATGTGGTTAGTCGGGTGTTGTGGTTGCCAGGGTGTTGTCATGTGGTTGCTAAGGTCATCTGAATGGGTTTCAACACATTTCTATGCTGTTGCAAGAGTATTTATGGTTTCCAGGGTGTTGGTATGCAGTTGCTAAGTCAATAAAACAGTTGAAAAAATCTTACAGACTTACACTGAAGGAGGGAATGTAGCCATATCTAGAGACCAGAATTATCAACCACATAGCAACACCCCAGCAACATTTTTATTTTATTTTATATTGAACTTGTAAAGTAAGAGATAAAAATAAGTCGAGAAGAAAACAGAAAATATGGAGGAAGAGAGAAGTGAAATTAGATGAGACGCAGAGAGCTGAAATGAACAAGGTCTTGGTTGCTACCTGACAGGCGGAAGTTCGTGATGAACGGCCTCTGAGGACGACTAAAGCAACCGCTCTGATGAAATTGTGCTTGACACCGACAAATACTAGGAGAAACTGGACACAAACGCATCTGTTAGTCTTCAGCTCACTCACACACATAAATTCACTTTGATATTGATTAGCAACACTGGCATATTAGCAGGAGAGAATTTGAATAAGTGTACTCACAGTGCTCAGGAGAATAAAAGCGTTCATTATGCTAATAATATTCACACACTGGAACGTAAACAGATTCCAGAGGCCACCGTGGCCCTTATTTACATATTATGAATAATGCCTGTTGCTCATCACCTGTCCTGTTGCAGAGGTTATTAAGAACACTGTTTGTAGTGTCTGAAGGAAATCAAGACGCATGACACTAGCTTTAATAATATACCAGATTTTTTACATTTTTTTCTGAAGAAAACGAGCAATTTTTGTAGGCCTTATCCCATTTTTGGCACTTGCTAAGTGCAAAAGGCTGAATGAAGCTGATGGTGAATTTAATTGGTAATATAGCTGTCCAAAAATAGCTTAAAGACAATTATGATACAGAAAATGTTTTTGTTATCTGGATACTTACAGGCTGTTCTGTCTTCTTACAGTCAGATTTCAGACATAAATTGGCAATGTATTTTCTTTCAAGTCATGCTTCGGCAGCGTTTGACTTTTTATGAATGCAGTTTCAAGAATCAGATATAATAAATCAAATCAGTGCCGTTCACGGGTGTGATTTTTGACAGTAAGGGTTGTAATGTGTGAGTCTGAGACTGCCACCTAGTGCTCATAACCACACATATAGCACATCAACGACAGCCTGACTAATAAAACGTTTACAATCCTTCGCCAAAAACACTCAGATAAATTACACATTAAACATAGGTTATGCATTTTGCGTCATTTTCATGCGTCACAGGAACTACACAGGAAGCAATTTTCAAGAAATATTCCTGGTTCAAAACAACGTTCCATGCTGTTATAAAATATGCATGGGTTTTGCTTGAGCTGAACTTGTATTAAACCCAAAAAATACCTTAAACAACAAACGATAATCGTTCACATGTAAGATATATGTGTTAATTATATTCCAGAGCCATTGTGGACACACACACGTGAGGAGAGCGAGCAAAGATTTATAGCATCCTGAGCCTGATATGAAATGGACACCACTTCAATCAGCCAACGAGTGCGCAAGAATCCCGTCCACTTGCTTAAGAAGCTGTTACACTGAATATAGGATGGACATTGGCTGGAAACAAATTGCAACAAGAGCACATATACAACAAAATGCAGCGTAGTGGGATCATGTGACAACATAGCATAAGATAGTACACGTCTGCAAGATGTCTGTTAAAGATCACTTCATCTGGAAAGCATCTGATCTGTTCAGACATCTGATAGACATCTTCCAGATGTCAATTTTACATACATTCTAAATCATAAACATCTTAAAGACATCTTCTAAACCTCTATTTGACATCTGATAGGAAACGGCCTATAGACATATTGCAGATGAGCAAACACTCAAAAAAATACGTCTTGCAGATGTAAATGCATACATCAAATAGACATCTCCATGATGTATGTGTGCTATCAGGGGAAATGTTTGTCGATGTAGGCTATAGGCTGTTCCACGTTAAATACATACACACATGCATATATACATACATACATTACAAACATACATAGTAGTAGGCTATGCTATAATGTGCAGTATGCAGTATGTTAGTTTTCCATTCCAAGCCAGGAAACAATGGATGGATACTTAAAGTACACACACACACACACACACACACACACACAAAACTTAAAGTAGGCTACACAAGATGTGCCCAAAACAACAGTGATCATTCAGGAACCATTCTGAATGAATTACATGCATTGCATTGTGGAAAACGGTACTGAGTCACAGCAGTACACTGTAAAAAATGACCGTGAATTTAACGGTAAAAGACTGAGCTCAACGGTGCTCGCCCTCTGCAGCGCAGCCGTAACCACGGGCAACCGGCATCTGAGCATTACTGGATGCAGCCCTGGCAGGGAATAATAAATATCCTTAGTGGACACGTGCATAGAGACTGAGCTAATCGCAGTGGAGAACATACACATATTTCAGGAGCAGATGGCAATGCCACGAGAGTGTGTTATTTTACTACGGTTAAGGGGTGCCAGTGCTCTCTTCAGTGTGTTGTTCTACAACAAGTGTAAGAGCATTGTTAATGTGAACTAAAATTACAACTGTTAAAACAGTTTTTGTTAATTAAAATAAATCTCAAAGAAAATAAAATGCAAGTATTAGATGAAACACGTAAAAAAACAAAAATGTGGCATTAACTTGGAAAGTATTATTAAAATAACTAAAATTAAAACTGGAAACAAATTACAAATGTAAATTAAATAAATATATTACATTACAAAAAAAGTTGAAAAAACTACAAAATGACTACGTCTAACTCCAATTAAATTGAAAACAAAATATAAAAATAATAACCAATTCAAAATATTATTTAAAAATAATGAAAAACTAATATTAGTTTAAGTACTAAAATGACTAAAATTAAAAATGAAATAGAAATATAAACTGAAAAATAAATATAAATAGATCTAAAAATAAAACAAAAAAATGTGAAAAGCACAACAAAATTACTAAAATTTAAGATAATTCAAAGCATTAATAATACTATAATATTATACAAATATTAGTAAAATAACATATCAAGGTATACCCTCCATAGTAAGTGCATTACTGTAAAAGTGTTTGTGTGTGTGTGTGTTTGGTCGACTGAAAGACAGAGCTAAACTAGTTTCTGTTGTCATTGAATGCCTCAACTACGGTAAGTTGAATTTAAACAATTAGATATCAATTGTAGGCCTAAGCAAAATCATTAACGGATATACAGTACACGGAGTCAAAAGTAGAGTCACGCCACCAAGTAGTTTTAATTCAGCTCCATTTCAAACTAGTTGTAATATAACATTACTGTTATATCACAGCCCTTTACAGTAACTGCTACAGTACTTTAATCAAGTGCTGTCATCAGCCTCTGAAACACATTCAGAAAGTGCAACAGTGAAGAATCAATACTTATTATTCAAATTAAGCCATTACAAAAAGTGCCATTTACAATGTCCACCTTCTTCAGGCTGGAGTTATCCATTATTGCACAGCCAATCTTATGTATGCAAAAAACACAGTCACTGAGTTATTGCTTATAAATTTTTCCCTGGTGTCAGCCGAATGAAAAAGCATTTTTTGGTTGAAAATAAACAAGACGGCCAGGAAATGGAGTTTCCTCTTATTACTGTGTACTCGTCCCTTCAGAATACAGATTATATGTCTGCAAAAAAAGTCATAGTTGACTTATGAAGCTTTGAAAAAGATCTACGATGCCCGTATTATGAGAGATACACTAAGCAATCTTATAAGAAAATAGATTAGTTTCCTACCTTTAGATTATTAGTTAATTTTTTTGCATCTGTTAGACTTATATGGATATTAGATAGATGGAATAAAAATGTTTGAACAGAAACAGATAGATGTCCCTGTATGCGAGTAACCTGATGAAGTATAAGCATTTCCTTCATATCTATTAGACTAATATCATTTAAAAACACAGTAATAAAGCTCTTCTGTAGTGCATAATGTTATAAAAACCTTCATCTATCTACTGACCACAGCAAATTTCAGAGGGCTTTCCTTCATTGACTACTTTTTTTTTGGCAGTCCATTCTCTTGATAAGTATGTCAGAGATATTGTACCATTCTGGCTATTAGAGTTTGCCATAAGTGTATTAAAATCATTCATAAAAGGTTATGAATAAAGAGCAATCATTCATAAGAATGTGGCTTTTGAATTACATAGAGAGTGAATCATCTCACAATATGTCCAGTATAAGCATTTCCTTCATATCTATTAGACTAATATCATTTAAAAACACAGTAATAAAGCTCTTCTGTAGTGCATAATGTTATAAAAACCTTCATCTATCTACTGACCACAGCAAATTTCAGAGGGCTTTCCTTCATTGACTACTTTTTTTTTTGGCAGTCCATTCTCTTGATAAGTATGTCAGGGATATTGTACCATTCTGGCTATTAGAGTTTGCCATGAGTGTATTAAAATCATTCATAAAAGGTTATGAATAAAGAGCAATCATTCATAAGAATGTGGCTTTTGAATTACATAGAGAGTGAATCTCACAATATGTCCAGGTCATATTTCACCCCAAAATCAAATGAACAAAAATAAGAGACTATTATTTTGCATAAAGAAAATGAAGCTTGGGAGCATTAAGATGTATGTATTTATTTATTTAGACATGAATTTTCTTCACAAAATCCACACATTTCTCCCTTAAATTCTCATTAATGTAATGCATCTGCATGTTTCGTTAGATTTTTTTTTTTTTTAAATAGATACTTGTAAACATTTTATTATATATATATATATATATATATAGTAACA